ACAGAGCACCTCCGGGCCGCGCCGGATCCGTTCCTTTTACGTTCAGGCGGCCTGCCAGCAGCCAGCCAGCAGCCAGCCAGCAGCCAGCCAGCAGCCAGCCCGGGCTGAGCAGCGATTTATGGAAGCACCCCGCACAACGGGCCCTCGGTGTACTCTGTCCATCCGTCGGCCTGGCGGCGGGCCCCGCCTCGCGCGTCTTCGGCCGCGCATCTCTCTCCGTCTCTGTCACTCGCGCGCTCACACACGCACTCACGCACACGCACGCGCACTCCAAGGCAGTGACACACGTTCTTAAGCACGTGGCGCACGCCATGTGGCACGACAGTCCTTTGATCCTGCGTGAATATATTTTTGCAAATCACCAAGGTCGTGCATGAATGTGTTCGTGCGTTTGTGTGTGTATATGTGAGTGCATGTGTGCGTGAGAGTGCGCGGGGGGCGGAAAGGGCACAATCAGCTCGCTGGAGCGCGCCGCGGGGCCCGTGGGTCCGCCCGTCGAGGCCCGGCTGGCCCGGCAGGCCCGGCCACTGTAGGCGCCCCACGCCTCTGCTCCCTGGCGACCACTGGAGACGCGGCTGCTCGTGCCGAGCCCCGGGGAGCCGACTCTGGGCGCTGCACGCGGAACCAGTCTCGCGCTTCGTGCTGGTGCTTCTTGGCCTCCACCGCCTTCTTGCCAGTGTTGTTCCTGCCGCCCTCGGCCGCCTCGTCGCGCCCCGGCAGACAGCAATAATGGTATTCCTCCCTATACATACAGTACTCTTCTTCGCCCCCCGCTCCTACTCCTCGCCCGCTTCCTGTGTTTACCTCCCCTCTCGGTTCGTTTCCCCGCGTGTTCGTCCCGGGGATGCCGTCAACGGGGCGGCGGGTCGACATGTTTCGGCTGGCTGCTGCGCAGGGCTCGCCTCGCGCCGCGGCGTAGTACGATGCCGTCGTGAGCCTTTGCCTTCGGGGAGGCTTTGCCGCAGTTTGCTCGCCCGCCTGTACGCGTTTGTTGTGAGAGTTTGCCGCTGTCTTCACCCCTCGGCCACTCCGAGGGCCACTCCTTTGGCCCCCTCCGCCTGACACGCCGCGCCTGCTGCAGGGCAAGGGGGTGACAAGGAGCACGGTGAGGACGCCAAGAAGGCCGCCGCCACGGCTGCCTTCACGCGCATCTATTTGCCTTGCTCCGCAAATACTACTTGTTTGGCGTACCGGGGATATTTCCCCGTGGAAGGCCTGCCCTGCCCTGCCCTGCCCAGCCCTGCCGAGAGCGCGGGAGGTACGACTTCATGGACCACCACTCCATGCCGGGGGTGAAATTCCACACCGACAATTATTCAACGTGTGCGAACTCGCGGGGAGGCAACCTGCAGTACCAATTCGGTTTGACGGTTCAATAGACTCTCTGCTGGAAACGAAACTTTTCGCTAACCAAATTAATGTGCGCGCCAAAAAACAGTTTAGAGTGGGTGGAATTGCACCGGAATCATGCGAACCGGTCCAGTCCGAAGTGTAAATGTGGCGGGCGATATTTCAAGCCAGGCCCCAGGGGCTGCGCGGCTACGCGGCCCACCTGCTACTTCCCAGTGAAGCCGCGCCGCGCCGCTCCCAGGCCCAGCCCAGCCCAGCCCAGCCCCAGCGCGCCAGCGCTAACGCCAACGCCCAGCCCAGTCTAATGACCCAGCGGACGCTCGCGGGCCCCGGACTGCGATCGTTTTACAAGACAATGCGCCTCTGTGCCTCTCTGTGCCTCTACGGCAAGTACCCTCCGGACGAAGGGCCAAAAACAAAGCAACAGGAAAGAATTTAAGAGACAAACCGACGAACAAAAATAGGGAGGTGGTGGAGGTCTACCTCTCGGTAGACCTACACATTCCCACTCTGGAAAAATTGATAGGAATGTTATATAAATATTTTTCTAAAAATTATTTTCATTTTCAAAATTTATATTTCTTGAAGTTGAAGTTGAACGCGATTATGGGTAGGCAATCCGCTAGACAGCACGCCGTCGCAAAGTTGCCTACCTGCTGTGGCAAGCGCTTTGGCGGGTTTAGCGCGGCCCCGGGGTGCGACCGGACCGGGCCGAGCTGCATAACTTCGGACTGACCCTGGGTGCCCTGGGCCCGGGGGGCGACCCCCAAGGCGGCCCCCGCCCCGCGGGCCACTCTGCCTTGCATAGTTTCCATCTTGTTGGTCTTTGGAGCGCGCGGGCGACGGGCCGGAGGGGTCGAGTTCAAGGGAGACAGCGTCGCCGCCGTCCTCGCCGATCCGCGGACCGCGATCCTCGAACGACCCAAATCTTTTTACAAACTCGGCCCGCGGCGGCGACACCAACTTCCGCCTCCCACTTCCGGCGTCTAATCCCAATCGCATCCGGATACCCCTCGACAAGTGCCGCCCTCCCCGCAGCTCCGCAGCTGAAACCGATCCCGGCCCGCGAGGCGCCAACACGCAGTGGTGTCGCTTCGAGCGGCGCCATCCCGAGAAGAGCCGCCTTTTGTCTTCTTCGTCGAGCGAACCCCTTTGAAGCTCCCGAGTGCCATCATTGTGGCCGCCGTCCTCACCGCGTCACTGAAAGGAGCCGTCTCTAGAACCAAGAAAATTGTGCTTGCGACACGTGAATCGTCTTGAGACATTCAAGTCAATTCACTTGTCGCAAGTAAGTTTTCTTGGTTCGAAAGCGACTTTTTCGGCTGGTCCCGCTCGTGACGAGGAAGCAGTCAAATGGGGCGTCCATAAGGGTGGCCCCGCTGCAGGGCTGCAGCTGCACTGCAAAAGTGTCGCTGGAACGTTCTCGTCGGCCGCCGAGGAACTCTTTTGACAAAAACGGCGCGACGCACCGGTAAGCACAGCGAAGCACAGCCAGCGCGGCATGAATTGTTAACAAAGCCCCCCCCCCTCTTCCCCCTCCCCATTGAGCCGTGGCGACCCTCACAGAAGCTGCTTTTCGGTTCTCAAGAAAGCCCCCGGACGGTCAAGCAAGAGCAAGAAGAGGAACCGGCGGCCGAACGTTTACCTTGCGCTGCTGGCTCTGCTGCTGCGGGGATGGCTTGATCCGCCAGTCACATAATCAGGATGCACACCCGGCACGTGCAGGACACGTGCAGGACACGCGGTCGCTGGAACGGTCTGGAACGCCCTGGAACGCCCTGGAACAGGGTCACTGGAAGTCCTGCCCGGCGGCGCGCTGGAACAGGACTGGGCTCCGTGATGCTGCGCTCCGTGGAAGGGGGAGGAGGCGCGGGCTGGCGCGGCCGCGGGGTGGCAGGGGGCGGGGGCAGGCGGGGGCAAGCCTCCCTCGGGTAACAGGTGGGAGGGAGGGGAGGGTAGCAAACAAACCCACTCAGGGTGAGTTAGCTCGGTCGCGTGAGTTCGCGTTGCAATCAACCGCAATCACCTTTCTTTTCGAACCGTCGTGTTGTCATTCACTGAAAATAGAAAGGTCAGACTTTTGACCCCTATAACGGTCTTATTGAAATGTACGACCGAAAAAGGGTCATACTGACATGTAAGACCGAAAAAAGGCCATACCTCGATGTTTGACCGAAAAAATGGTCATACTTTATAGTGTATCACAGGCAAAGGCTGATATATCCCCAAGCTAAACAATAGCCAGTCTCGCTGATGTGTGACCTTTCTTTGGTCATACATTTAAGTGTGACCCTTTTTCAGTCATACATTTGCGTATGACCGTTTTTCGGACATACTTTTTGTATCACCGAAAATCAGTCAGATGTCTCACCCTTCGAATTTCAGTGTTAGGAGCTCAAAGAGGAATGAGTGAAAAGAGAGAAAGATCTTTGCGCGGAGGCCTGGAAGGACCTCCGTGCCGTAATACAGTGCAAGAATGAGAGAAAGTTTTTCACGTCAACACAATAAATAGCCTTGCAATGAGGAACCAACACAAACAGGGGGAAGGGCTCAGTCGCTCTGTCAATACGCCCCGCGTGGAGTATGCCTGCTGGCTGGCTCTAGAGGCTCAGGCGCGTGGGATAGCGACGGACAGACTCTATTCGCTGGCGATGAGAACACCTCTGCGTGGGCTGCACTTGGTGAGTTCTCCAAACTTTACGATAGGCTGTCAGAGTGCAGGCTCAATTAGATGAATGAAAAATGCATTGGTTGAGACTGAAAAATTATATTAGGAAAAGCTGTAAAATTGTTCTCATGGTTTTGTCTTGTTTTCTAGTCCGGTGTTTAATAAAGCGTCTTGGACGAGTATGCATTGAGCATAAATCTCTCGGCGTGAGTTCACTACTCTTGTTTCGTGTTCATTAGTCTTTTAGCAGTGATAACCTTTAGAAATTCAAGTTAAAGTGATCGAAGTCCGACGGGCCGGCGCGGCGCGGCGGCGCCGGCAGTCCGTTTCGCTTAAAAAAAAAGCGCGCGCGGCGCGTTCGACCTCCACGCGAGACTACCGTTGTGGCTATGAGAAACCGCTGGCTCGGAAGCAACCTCGAACTCGGAGCGACAGATGGCGCCACCAGCTAGCCGCCAAGTCCCGCGAGGCTACCATTGCCACTATGAAAACATTCATCAAGTTTATGATCTTTCAGAGCAGCAAAGACTGCCAAACGTTTGAGCCATCATCTAACTTCGCTTCTTACTTTACGAAATGCCATTTCAGAGCACGATTCAACCGTTTGGTTTGTGTCTTACGTTGGTTCAAACGTCTTTAAACCTCTGAATGTTTCAGGGAATGCCATGATAGGATAGGTCTACGTTTTACCGTACTGATTTGGAACATAATTTGCGTTTTTCAACATATTTGTTGTTCCCATCATTTTAAAAGAAATTTTAAAAGAAACTTCCAGCCTTGTTCCCGAGCACTCCGCCCGTCAGTGGGCGCTCCTGGATTCTGGTCGTGGCCCTCGCCGGGCTGTGCCGCGCCTCGTCGTCGGCGAGCTGCAGAGGCAGCAACGCAGCGCAGCAGTGCGCCGACGGACGGTGCCCGGCGCGGTCGGGAACGGAGCAGCTCCCGCTTCGATCGACGCGGGCCGCGGTGGGGCGCGGTGGGGCGCGGTGGGGCGCGGTGGGGCGCGGTGGGCGGGAGGAGAAGGGAGCCATGGGGGCGCGCTGCATCCCTGGCGTCGAAGAGCCGTCGCCACCCCAGTGACACACAAACAGTCGCCAGGACATCACGTCGCCGACGTCGTCGCGGGCGTGCGCCGAGGAGGCGTGGAGCAAGAGCCGGCACATGAAGTGCTCGAAGAAGGACCGGGGACGCGCACGACGCGCAGGTGCCGCACGGGCCGGGCCGAGACGGCCGGGACGGGATGTCGATGAAGGTGAGTCGGAAGTCAGGTTAGGGCGTCGCGCTGGCCGCTGGCCGCTGGCGCATGGTGCTCGCGGTGGCTGCGGCCTCGTGCGTGGCCGTGTCCTTCTCCACGCCGAGGGCGGCCCCTCGTCCACCTCATTATCGTGTCCTGGCGGAAGCGCGGGGGGTCGACGTGGACGTGTCGTCTGCTGGCGGCCTGGCGGTGCACACAGACAGACAAGGCTTGCTATTCGCAGGCCAGGCCCCGGCGGCTGGCGCGCATGTGCGGTGATGCTGCACCGGCTGTACTGTGTACTGCCGCTGGGCCCACGACGCCTCACCGGCGTCCGCGCGGCGCCACGACGTCGACGCCGGTGGCAATACGTAATTCGAGTCGATGCGCGGCTGCCGTGTCCCGCGTCTCGGCGCGGAGTCATTTTCCTGCCTGCCCTTTGCAAGGTCTCGCCACGCGTCTCGCGGCCGCCACGCGCGTCAGACTGATTCCGAGAGTCGCTTTGTCTCTCTCGCACTCGTAGGGCGTCCCGTTCAGGTGCGAGAGAGACAGGGGGACTCACTGAATCACTCTCCCGCACGGCCACCTTCGCCTCGATAAGGCGTCGCGTTATCGCGCTGCAGGACGAGGACAGGCTGCGGCATGCCGGCCGGCCGGCCGTCTTATCCTGTGTCCTGCCTAGCAAGGCCTTGGCCCGCTCGACCTGCAACTGCAACGACGTGCCAAGTTCCGTCCCTCGCAGCACCGCCTGCGTCCGTTCGCCAGTGGACTGATTCAGAGAGTCGTTTTCGTCGCTGTCTCCCTCACACTAATGCGGGACGCCCCGTGAGTGCGAGAGAGACAAAGCGACGACTACTGGGTCCACGTCCTCGTCGCCTCGAAGCGAAGGGTCGCCCCTAGCCCCCTCTGGAAGCAGGCGATGTCAGGCGAGGCGCGGCGAACGAGGCAAAGAAAACGGCTACAAGAGTAACGAATCGAGGGCTGGGGCCCTGGACTCGAGCCAAATGTAAATGCCGGCAACGGCAACGGCCTGCCCGCGGCGCGGACCGCGCGGACGGCGTCGACGCCCTGCACCGCTTGATGCCCGCAGGCCGGCCGGCTGGGCTGCCATGCAGCGGCCAGCAGCGGCCGGCCCTCCGGGTCCTAGACCCGACCGGCCAAGTTTAGAACGCTTTGGAGCGGTGGCGTGGCGAGGCGTGGCGGAGCGTTGCGGGGCGGGGCTGGGCTGACCGTACAATATCACGGGCCCGTCGGCTCGACGGCTCCGAAACACGGCACCCGTGGGTACCGGCGCCGCTGGACGCGCACACGGGCCCAGGTCCAGGCCACCAGGCCGTCGGGCCGTCCAGGCGCCGCGCAGCGCAGGGTGGGCACCACCGCGACACACGGCCGCGCGGCGGTACGGCCTGCCGTCCAGGCGCTCCGAGCAGTGCACCGTGCATGCCTGCGGCGCGCCGGACAGATGATGACCGCAAAAGCGGCGTTTCTCGGAACAGTAAAGACTGGAACGGATCGGGGGGAAGGGGCCGAAGGGGCCACAGAGCCGCGCGGAGGCTGGAAAAGAAACGCGAAACGCGCGGCGTGGCGCGGCGTGCGGCGACGACCGCGCAGCCCGTCCGGTCCGCCATTCCAGGTGCACTTCACGTTCGCCGTCGCCGTGGAGTCACTTTCCTCCCATGATTGATCCGAGAACGGATACAGCGGCGCCGAGCGACCGAGCGGCGCCCGCCCGCGCGCTCGCTCGCCTTTTTTCTGTCTCCGCCGGCCAGAAGAACAAGAGGGCCTCGGGCGGTCGGAGCGCGGGTGGCTAGCGGGCCAAGCTGCAATGCGGCCCTGCCCGGAGGCACGCCGCGGCACGCCGGCGCCGCCATCGAGGCCATCGAGGCGCGTGGAAGCGGCTGCAGCTGCAAGTCGAATGGGATTGAGGCGAGTCGCGGAATTGGAGTCGCCGGCGGCTAAATGTCAGGCGGCACGGCGGTGTGCCGCGCACCGCGCACCGCGCACCGCGGCCACGGGCGAGTTTCGGGGGAAAGGTCGCCAGCGGCAAGCGAGAAGCGCGGCAGTACGGCAGCCGTTCTGGCCCAGGCGCGCTGCCGTGGAAGCACAAGACACGAGTAATACGAATTTCACGTGCGCCCGATGGGAAAGGAGGAAAGGGATAAAGAATGAGGGGGGAGGGGCTCATCAGCTGCGCACACAAGATGGACGCAAACACATCCCCGATGTAGTCGCGGCGCTCGCACATCGCCGCCATCCTCCTCCCCCTCGTCCTCGTCCTCATAATGAGAGTTCAGTCAACTCGTCGCTGGATTTCCGAGGGGCTTCGCGGCCCGCGTCCAGGAATCCCAGCATCCTGGAGCGCAGTGCAGCGCAGCGCGTCCCCGCTGCACGCCGGCTCGGCTGCCGGCAGCCCGGCGAGGACTCTAGGCACGCTGGAACGGAACGGAACGGAACGGCAGGACTGGTTTCGCGCGCCGAGGTAAGGGCCGATGGGCGCTGAGAGGCTCAACACTTTTTAAGCCTGCGCGGCGCTGCGCGGCGCGGTGGGCCGCGGTCTTAACTACTGCCGAGGCGGGCGGCGCGGGGCGCGGCGTGTAGTTCCAGCGACCGTGCACCGTGCCCAGGCCGGCCTAGGCGGGTAAGCGGGCCGAGCACCGAGCCTGGCAGCAGACTGATCCCGAAGAGTAGCTCTGTCCCTGTCGCACTCGTGGGGCCTGACGTGGGGGTGCGAGAGAGACAGAGCGACGAAGCGACTCTTCTGAACGGCTGGCTGGCAGCATTACAGGCCGTCTCGCTCCAACGATCTCGCCATCCGATCGGCCCTTCCAGTCCAGGCTTCCAGGCAGGCTTCCAGGCCCGTCGCTCGCCCTTGGGGGCTAACGGCAGCGGGGGCCCTTCCAGTGACGGCGCACCGCGAGGCGCACCGCGACTAAAAAAGACATGCGTTCCGAGGGCTGGAAAACGAAGGGGAAACGCCCGAAACGCCAGGCATCCCTTCAGTTTGACAGACGACGTCGAGCAGTGATGAAAGCCATGTGTCCACGTTGCAGCGGTGTCGCACGGGTTGCCTACACTTTCAGCCTGCCTCCGTTTTCTTTCACGATTGAGCCGATAGTGCCGTTGTGCAGTGGCTTGCAGTGTGCTTGCAGTGTGCAGTGGTGCGGCTGCGTGCGTCCCGCGCGGCGCTGCAGCAGGCCTGGCCGCCTCAGTGACGCGATTACCCGCTCGACCAGGACGACCAGGACGCGCGCACTACACCGCAAAAAAGATGGCGGCATACCACTATGCAGTGCTGTGGCACGTTTTCGCGAAAGTGCCTCATGCCCCGCGCGCTCCCACTTCTTGTTCCAGAAGGAGTCCCCCCTGGACGCGCACCTCCACATCGCCGCCCTGCAGGGCGACGTGGCCACGCTGCGGAGGGTGCTGGACAGCGGCCGGGTGCATGTTGACTGCAAGGACAGGGTGAGTGGACACCGCCTGCGAGAAGTTATCAAGTTGGAATCTAGTTGTAGCAGCCCGCCGTGCTCACTACGTCCCCGAACCCGTCGACGACCTTGTCGACGACCTTGTCGACGACCGCCTCGTTGAGTGTTTCCCGTTTGCCGGCCGCAGGATGGCACCACGCCGCTCATCCTGGCGGCGGCCAACGGCCACCTGGACTGCGTGGAGGAGCTGCTGGAGCAGGGCGCCAACCCGCGCGCCAGGAGGACGGTGAGTGTGCAGTGCAGTGCGCCCGCCACGAGGTGGCCTCGAGGGCAACCTTGCAATACGCTTCCCTCCTTTCCCCGTTGCAGACCGGCACCACGCCCCTGTTCTTCGCCGCCCAGGGAGGCTTCCTCGACATCGCGCAGGCCCTGCTGGACAACGGCGCGCAGGTGGACTCGGCCAGCGTGGTGGGTATCGACCAATCCCGTCGCTCGTATCGGCCGCTGCAGTCAGCCAGTCAGCCTGTCTCCGGCCGATGACGCGACGTGCCCTTCGCGAATCATCCGTCTCTGCCACGTCTCTTCCCGAAAGACGAGCAACTTCCTCAAGCAGCGGTAGACTGATTCCGAGGGTCGTGCTCGTTGCTCTGTCTCGCTCCCACCTAGAGGGACGCCTATGAGTGCGAGAGAGATAGAGCGGCGAAACGCCGTGGCGGAGTCACTCCGCTGGCGGGAGGTGAGAGCCACGCGGGGAAGTCCCAGGCCCGCCGAGGCCCGCCCAGGCCCCAGGACGCTGATAACGGCTCAGCTAACCGTCCCGGCCGCGCGCCCGGCCCCACTAATGACTCGGAACTCTGACGGCTTCGGCTTCGACTCCCCTTCACTGCCTTCGCCGGCTCGCCCTTCACTTACACTGCAGCGCTGAAATAGCCGGCGAGGTGCGCTACGCGCACGGGCCCCTCGCTCTCCCTCTCGCTCTCTCTCTCCTCTCCTCTCTCTCTCTCTCTCTCTCTCTCTCTCTCTCTCTCCCTCTCGCGGGTCGCGGTAGGCCTATTTTGGAACGCCGCTGGCTAAACCACCCGCCTTCCCGACGGGTTCTCTGGACACGCGGAGTGTGGTGGTGGTGCGCGGCGCGTCGACGGAGGGGTCGGAAGCCGAAAACAGAAGCCGAAAGTAGAAGCGCGTCGTTGTATTTGTTCGGCGACCTTTTTCCCCGCCATAGCGCGGCTAGCTCGGCTCGACGCCCCGCGGCCCGCGACGCGTCTGACCCAGTTTAAGCGGTTCGCGCCGCGAGGTTCACCCTCCTGCGGGGCCGGCCATAAAAAACGCCCCTCCCCGCCCCCCTCGGCACACCGAAAGCCTCCTCGAGAACTCAAAATTAGAACGTGTTTGGTGCTTTGCGCGCGCCCCCTTGCACCTGTGTGTTCTTTGGGCATTACCGCGCCGTTCGGCGCTGTTCGGGGCCCTCCGGGGCGCATGCCGTGACGAGGGCACGACTGCACCGTAAGTTTGGGGCCCCTCAAGGCTGCAACTGCTGCTGCACCGCGACAAGGCGGCCGCTGTGCCGCCGTGTTCCCGAGTGACGCGGCAAACGCCAAGGCTGCGGATGAAAGGTCATGATGGTGCATTCGGCGGTGCCTGCACGGGATCAGCTGTTCCGAATCAATCGCGACCAGGATCCTCCATGCCGCGCCCCGCCCCGCCGCGCTCCGCCCTCCGCCGCGCCCCGCCCCGCCCCTCTCGCCAACAACTGGCACAGTACCGCGGCTCGGCGCGCGGAATCGCTTACTCGCCCAATTTACCATAGGACCAGCACTGCCAAATGCTAAATGAACCGCCAAGGCCACGAGTGGAGTCTTTTCGTGGCTCGCGCGCCTTTGGGGAAACGACATCCCCACAGCAAAAGAAAAATAAAATAAGTGGCCACGTTTTGAAATGCCGCAGTTGAAAAGCAACAAGGCTAATGTGGAATTCCTTTCCCCAGGATGGAGGCACGCCGCTGTTCGTCTCGTGCCAATGCGGCCACCTTGACGTCGCCAAGGAGCTCGTCAACAGGGGCGCCAACGTCAACGCGCACATGAAGGCAAGTCCCAAGTCCCTCCCTCTCCTCTTGTTTTGTTTTTGTTTTGTTTCCATGGCGGCTGCCCTTGCCCGTCACGTGCAATCCATCTCGTGACCTTCCCGTCTCGTCCGGGGTGTGTGAGCGACGGGCAAACCACAGCCACATGGCAAAACAGTATCCTCCAACAAGTTAACCAAAGAAATCCCCCCTCCTTCCCTGCCCTTCCTCCGAGGGGTGATTCACTAGCGTTAGCTCACACTCACAACTTTTTCTGAAGAGCCTGAAACCAATTTTTTGGCGCGATTTGGCATTGCGAAAAAGGCGTGAAAAGGAATAAAAAGTGTAAGCCAATCGATTCCTCAGAAAGATCGGGGCGGGGCACATTGAAACGTGCGATGTGACTTTCAGGACCGCGCGACGCCGCTGTTCATGGCCTCGCAGAACGGGCACGGGCGCGAGGTGCTGTTCCTGCTGGAGGCCGGCGCCGCGGTGGACGCGCGCCGCACGGACGGCGCCACGGCCCTCTGGATCGCGGCGCAGATGGGCCACGAGCGCATCGTGCGCGTGCTGCTGCGGCACGGCGCGGCCGTGGACACCACGCGACACGTGAGTGACCCAAAAGACCAACCGCCTGCCGCCGGGGATCGAACCCGCGACCAGGAATCACGATGGCCGTTTTCGTTTTCCAGGACGGCGCGACGCCACTGTTCAAGGCGGCGCACAAGGGCCACGCCGCCGTCGTGGACGAGCTGCTGCAGTACAGGCCCAGCCTGAAGCTGCTTCCGGTGAGCAGCGCCAAGCCGACCGACCGACCGACGGGCTGGACCAGGACGATGAACCACAGTGTGTGAACACGCTCTTGCTCTGGTTGCAGAACGGCGAGAGCGCCCTCCACGCCGCCGCGCTCTTCGGCCACGTGGCGGTGGTGCGCAAGCTCCTGGCGGCCGGGAGCGACCCGTCGCTGCGCAACCAGGAGGGGCTCACCGCGGCGCAGCTCGCCGCCGACAAGAAGCACCGTGCCGTCGTGGACCTCCTGGTGCTGGCCGCGCAGGCCAGCCGCAGCTAGCGCGCTAGCGCGCCGCAAGAATAGAGAGAGCACTATTTTTCTGATATTTTTGTACGTTATGTGATCACTTATTTAAAGGTCGACCTACTCCACCCTGGCTCGCAAGTGCCCCGAAGCTGTGGCGAGTGTGATTTGTTTAGTATTGTTATATTGTAATGTTAGTTATGGGTCGTTTGGCGACCTCGGTAATTTATGTGTCTTTGATTATTGTTGCATTCAAAAGTGTCGCCCATTCGGCACGGCGGCAAGGTGGGCATCATTGAGGAATGAGATGTGGAAAATGAAGTCTAGTCGGACAGTTATTTTTGTTTTAGTTGATCCTTTGATTTTTTTAGTATGTAAAACGCGTCACTTCTACTGCCAGTGTGAAATGCATATCCGCCCTGGTTAAGCGCCACAACTATTTTTTACGACTGTATGTAAGAGACTTCTTAATCGTAAACGGACACAGCAGGATATATATTTATGAAACGTTCTTCGTTAATAAACTTTGTTGTTGAACCAAACTGAGGGCCCCTAATTAACGCCCCATCCCAGAGCGTTCCAGCATTACTGCCTGGATCCGCCGGCGACGTGAACCGTGGTCCCAGGGAATTCCCCCGGGGCCGACGCAGCGGACGCAGCGCTCGTGGGCGTCCGTCCGTCCAGGCAGTCAGTCCAGGTGTGATGCTCCACGCACTCCGTGTGCTCCGCGGCTCCGCGTGCCCGGGCGGCTCCCGCCCACGCCCCCAGGGGCTGCCCATGTCGAGAAGCGTGTAGCCCACCAACTTTCTGATGCAGACCAGGGCTGGCGTTTACATTCCGGGCCAGGGAGGACCCAATGCTGACAGCCCGATGCCTCTGACCGCGTGGAGCGTCGCGTTGTCGGTCCCGTCAGTGCCCGACTCTAGACTGCCTGGACACAGACACCCGCCTGATTGAGTTACAGACCTCACACGACACGCGTGCCGAGTGCCGGCCCGCCCGATGGCCCGCCCGATGGCTCGCCCGACGGCCCGCCACCCCAAGTAGGCCGTCCCCAAGTAGGTCGTGCCGTCGAGGGCCTCGGCGCTGCTCGTCCCTCGCGGTGATTATTACGCTGTCGTGACATCACTTGTCGCGCTGCCAACACTGCCAACACTGCGTGCGCAGCGTGTACACTGTACAGGCGGGTTGATGCCCAGCGCCCAGCGCGTCGGACCGGCGCGTCGGACCGGCGTGGCACTGCGGAGCCTCAGGACCGCGAGGCACTGCGCTGGCCGTGGCGGTGGCAACATGCGGCCTGAAAAAACAGCAGCAGGCAGTGCATGGTGCCGAACGCGGCCCTACACCAGCAGGCCCTGGTGGGCACCAAGTGCTCGATTAATGACTCATGGCTGCGGCGGAGAGGCGGGAGCAGGCGGGAGGCGACAGCAGGACAAGGCGGCTGCTGAATCCAGGCGGCCACTGGCAAGCCAGCCAACTGCGCCACTCGCCAGTACGGCGCCAGTACCCGCAGCGCGTGCAGCACCAGCAGGCAGTACCACGCCAGGCCAGAGGCAGGCCAGAGGCACCGCCGGGCCAGGCGTCACCGAGGCGCATCGCGACGCACGGGAAGAATGCAGGGATAGGCAAGGCCGAGACTGCAGTGCAGTGCCTGTTGCAGCGAGCCAGCGTCTCCAGGCGTCCTCTCCAGGTGCCCGCAGCGTCCGCAGCGTCCGCCACTCCCCGCCGCCACGCGTGCCCGCGCCGCCGAGCGCCCCGCGCCCACGCCTCCGAAGCTCGAGGCGCGCCGTACCCGGCCACACCGCGTGAAGCGTGAATTGGGAGTGCAGCACACGTCTCCGCTCCGACGCAACGCGCGACGCGGCCGCCGAGTCTCCGCACAACAACAGTGTCCGCGATGCCGTCGGTACGCGTCGTCGCGGCGGCCGTCGCCGTCCTCATCCTGGTCGTCCCGCTGTGCGGCGCCCTGCGATCGAGTGAGTGTTGCTGGGCTCTCCCCCCAGCGAGCAGACAAAGAATCGCCCCACCCACGTCGGGGACATTGACGAGGCCGGCGCTTTTGGCTCCGAGTGTCCTGCCGCCGCCTGCCGCAGTGACAAAGGAATTTTGACGCCGTCTCTCTCCCTCCGGCTGCGTGCTGCGGGCGGTGCGGGTCTCTTTGTCCTTGTTGCCTGAGCCCTGCCTGTGTCTGTGTGTGTGCAGGTGCGAGCTGCCAGCAGCAGGGCAAGTTCTCCTGCCCCAACGGCAAGTGCATCTCCGGGTCGCTGTGGTGCAACGGCATCAACGACTGCGGCGACAACGCGGACGAGACGTCCTGTCGAGGTAGGCAGGCGCGCGATTCACAAGAGCTCTCTCTCGCACCATTATGGAATGCCGCATGAGTGCGACAGAGCGACGAGATGACTCTTCTGAATCGCTCGGCAGATCAAGAAACGCCAACGTTTGGCCACATACAAAGCACTGTTTCATTCTTGATTGTGGCTTGTAGCGCCTGTGAGGTAGGCCTTGGACCCGTCGCGCAACACACCGGTGTGGAGGCGATGGCCTACCTTGCCCCTGTCGTCTTCACGGGGGCAAGGTAGGCCACCGTCTCCACACCGGTGTGCTGCGGGACGGGTCCATGGCCTACCTCACAGGCGTTAAAGGGGACAAACGACGAACAAAGATCTTGTAAAAGATCTAAGTCCTAAATTTCCACAAAAAAGTAGCAATGCTAACGTGAATAATTTCACCTCCAACTTTCGTCAGTACATCCCGCCTTCAGCAAGCAGTTTACGCTCCTTTGAGGCGTTCCTGTGTTGCCACAACGTTGTAAATCACGTCCATTTATTGGTTTCCTTTCTCTCAGTGAGGTGGCTCTCATTTTGTTTGAACTTCTTTTGTTTCAGTATGCATGAGTGGATCTGTGAAGTGCAAGTCTTCCAATCAGTGTGTGCCATCGGGAGCCAGGTGCAATGGCGTTGAAGAGTGCCTTGATAAGTCGGATGAACTTGGTTGTGAGGTTGTTGTGACAGGTAACTATAAGACGGGTATTGAAAACGAGAGAACTTTGTGCTGGATGTTGTTCATATTGTGACCTGTTTTTTTTGTTTGACTCAACAGAACAAAGTACAGAACCAATACAGACAGCAGTACAGGCCCATGAAGTACGAGGCAGTCAAATAACAAGTGGATCATCAAGGCCTGCTCTGTCAATATTTTTCTTGACAGTTTTTGTAGCTGCATTGATAAGGTGATAATGTCATGTAATATTGAAGGAAAAAGCACATGTACTTTAAGTTTCTCAAATTTATTATTTTGAATGTAAAATAGATTGAATAAATATTTTGACAAAGGTTTTCTTTTGTTTGCATAGTTCTGGTTGGAATATGATGTGCACATTAATTGAAACAGACAAATGGCAAATAATAGCTAAAGTCACGACGAACAAGAATACAAATATCACAATATTGTCAGTTCAACCATCGCTTACCGAATAAAAAGCTAGTAGCCATCATTTGTCCAAGAAACATTGTAATCAGGGTATTCCTTTTTGAGCAATTCAGTTGTCACCTCATGATCAGCTCGACCGTAGCCCTGGGAATACCCGTACACTTTCAGTTTCTTTTCGCTAGGGTTGTGCTCAATGCGACCACCACCCACACATTCAGTTTCAAAGCCTAGTTTCTCAATTTTCTCTTGAGTAGCTTCATAGATGTCTGCATGGTATGGACCCCACTTGAATCCACGAACAATAAATTTCTCACTGTCCGTAGCACCTTCTTCCGTTTTGTGAACTTTGATGAGGACATATTTGAAAACCCCTTCGTTGTCGATGGAGACAGTTGGGATGGTATTCAGTGCGTCTGCCATTGCTGCAAAGAGACGCAAATGGCAAGGCTTAAAAGTGGGTGATACAAGCAAACGAGCGAATCTCAACATTGAGTGCAGGCACCTGGTTGTTTGGTTATGCCGATGAAGTCAGAATTTTTCAAATGAGAAAGGAGTTCAAAGTAAAAGACTCCACCAAGCAATTGTTCAAATAAGAAAATAAAGAATCATATTTTGAAATGACTTTACCGAAACTGTGGGAGCAAACTGTCACGCTGACTTGCCGGTAAAAAATAAACCTGAAAGTGGCAGTTGTTGTCTGTCTTTCTGCTTTTGCTACTAACGAGCTGAATTTTTCATACTACAAACAAGATGAAGTGACAAAAAGACCCATATTGCTATTGGGATAAGTTAAACGCGGCTAGCATATATTACCATTGCAGTTCGATGGTGTTTTAGGAAAGAGACTAGCCTGTAAAGGAGGGGGAAATGTATGAAAACCTCTCATCACAACAAAAATGTATTTTGAGTCGTCTGAATTAGCATGAAGAAGTCTAGGAGCAGGTCAAGCGCAAAGCAGACTTTACATCAGCTATTAAACACAATTGTTTCATAACGCGAACGTAGGGAGTGTTTTATAAATCAAAGTCTTACGAACCGACAAGTGTTTCATATCTTCCAGCCGTGTAGCCTGCCTAGTCTCGCGCAAGGTCCCACGCGGCTGCATGGGCGGCCATCTTGCTACTGCCACCTCCACCGCTCCACCGCGGCGGGAGTGGCGCGAAGCGGGAGTCGGGAGTCGCGAAGACCGAAGTCAGTTGGCTGTTGGCTTCGGCGCCGAGCCGAGTCCGAGCCGAGTGAACGTCACCGCTGGAGCCGAGCCGAGCTCATCGGAGCGAGCGCGGACGCGGTGCAGACAGCCGCGAGTGTTTTCGTTGAATTTGTTTATCGCACTGTTGTTTCGGCGGATCTAGGCTGAGTTGGATGTCTCCACATCCCACCGGATTCCTCCCCTGACTGCAATCAACGAACAGGTGGGTCAGGTGGGAGTTTGTGGGAGCAGATAGAGGCTAGGGTTGGCGGGCGGGCCGACCTACCTGTCATTCAGGACAACCAACAGAGGTCCTGCAGAGGACGACTTGTCGGTTGAGTGTGCTTGTCTCGGGAAGATGTCACGAAGGGATGTTCGCTCCTTTCTTAAGTGTGTCCCCCTGATTGTCGGTTTCGCTGGGTGTGGGTCTGGAGTCATGAAACGCCGGGGCCAGCCTGGTAGGCGGGAAATGTGTTGGGTTCAAATTTGAATATGGTGAGCCAATTCGATCTCAGCCCATGGGATTTCCCTGGGCCGTGTGGATTTCTGGTGGCGGCGAATGTCTTAAGCTCCTTTAAGTAATGAAAGGGAGGATTTCTGGATTTTGTAAAATAAATAAATTAACACAGATACCAAATTAAGCAGTACTTTACATGCATGTCCCTGCAGAGGACAAAATGATGGTCCCGATCGACGCTGGTTGCGTACCGGGCTTGCATGTGCCTTGCAATCAGGTGACGCCACAATCTTTGTCCACCAGCTTGCTTGGCTACCGCCAACTCGGCTTTCAAACTGTCATGTTCCTCGAGGCAGTTACTGTCTCCTTAAGCTTGTGAGGTTTTAATTGCGGGGCAAGAGAGGGGAGGGGAGGAGGACACTGTCAGGTCAGACTTCGTTGTTTTTCTTAATCAGTTATGCCCTTGCCTGTCCTGTACGCAACTTGTCGTATCCGGCTGGACTTCGCGACCCCTTGAACTTGAAATGTGGACGGATCCCAATGATCGCACTCACCGGGGCGATGACGGCTCCCCGGCGAACAGTGGTTCCATCACTGTCTCTCTCGCACAAACAGTGGCTTCATCGCTCTGTCTCTCTCGCTCGAGCACGGCGATGAAACCACTGTCCGGAATGGCCCTGCGCGGGGCGGGGCACGGCGGGTGTGAAACGAACTAATTTCTGGCGTGTCGAAGCGGCCGCTTAATTGCCTTGCAGTGGCTAGCTGCCGGTCTCTTTTTGTGGTGGAGCGCAGCCAGCGCAGCCGGAGGGACGGTGGTGGGCGGCCGCGGTGCCGGGGCTACGCCACTGGTCCCGCAAAGCGCGCAGCGCCTCTTGGTTTGCAGCAGGTTTCTTAGCGGAACCTCGTCGACAGGCGTCTCATCCACGTTCTCGGCGTCTGCATGCAGACTGCAGACTGAAGGGTGTCATCGTCACCCTGACTCTCTCGCACCCATACGGACGGCCATATGAGTGCGAGAGAGACAGAGCGACTCCCCGTGGGAGTGCATCGCATGCAGTTTGGCCGCTGACGACGCCGACGGCGATTGCACCTGCATGGCGCCTGGCCGCCCCGCCCCGCCCGCCGCAGACGCAGCACGCCGTGCAGGCCGTGCTACGCCACCGGGGGAGAGAGGGAGAGAGACGGAAGGGTACTTCCGGACGGTGCGGCGCGCGGTGCGGTGCGCGTTGCTGGAGCGTGACTACACTGTACCGGCTGGCTTGGCTGGCTGGCTGGCTTGGCTACTCGCACTCGGCCCGACACAGCCTTACCGGCCCTCCTGCCCGTTGTCTGTCCCGGCGTGTCCTGCCCTCCCCTCCACCCGCTTCACCCCTCAACGAGAACCAGAGAACCGGTAGATGCGCCGCGACGCCGCGACCCGTCCCGCCGCATCGGGCATCTGTTTTGCAGTGGAATCCTGGAACACGCGTAAAGCAGCATCCGACCGACGACGTCCTGCGGGCCGATGGTCCGATGCCTTTAGTGCTCTGGTCGCTCTGTCTCTCTCGCACTCGTAGCGCGTCCCGTTTCGCTTTGAGTAGGTACGAGAGAGACAGCGACAGCCCGCAGCGGTCAAGATGGCGGTGTGACGCTGGCGTGCTCTACATACGCTGCCGCGTTTGGGCGAAGTGGCCGCCACGCCACCTGTCGCTGGACCGCGGCACCGCGGCGCTGTGCTTGTCTTCCGCCGGAGATGAGTGAGGCTGGCTGGCGCTGGCTGGCGCTGGCTGGCTGGCCGCGACTGTGGCTCTAGGCCCCACGGCGGCGTGGGCAGCGCGGCAGCGTGGCAGCGGCCCACTCCACTCGCGGCCGCACGTCGCCGATGTGGATGTGCCCCTGCCGAGCTATTCCGCACGGCGTGTTTCGTGGCTCTGCCTCTCTCTCGCACCCACCCGGAGCGCCCCATGCGCGCGAGAGAGACGGGGTGAATGGGCCGGGCGTGCACGTGGTGCGGCCGGTGCGTGTGGGCGTGGCGGCGGGGCGTGGCGGCGGGGCGCGGACGGCCGGAGCGGTAATGCCAATGCTGGATGCTGGCTGCTCCCTGCGGTCGAGATTCCAGACGATGGCGGAGACTCATGGAAAGGAGGGCAAGAAGTTCGGTCCACTTCTAATTGCGCCCCGCCAACGTTCTCAAATTTGGAGCCGTTGATTCCCGTCATTACAACTCGCGTTCTCGTTACTATTCCTGTTCTGCTTCATTTGTAGAGTCGCGTTATCTGAGGTGAAGGAGGCGGCGGGGCGGGGCGGGCGGGAGGGAGGGGCCTTTTCAGCAGATAAGTGACGAAGTGTGCGGTGTACTCGCGTCGAGGCGTTTCCTTGGAATCGCGACGTCAAGTGGGTCTCTTTGTCCCGACCGACGGCTTGCGGGTTTTTGGTTCCGAGTGGGTGTCCGTCAATCGTGCGTCTTTACGGTGTCATGCCGTGTCATGTCCTTGTTACACCCGCAACAATTCCTTGCAGCGGTTTTGTCGCTGTTTCTCTCTGGCACTCACGAGGCGTCCGGCGTCCCGTAGGGGTGGAAGAGAGACGGAGCGACGAAGCGCTGTAGGCAGGTTACGCCCCTGTAGCCGCGCGCTGCGCGCTGTCACCGAGCCCGAGCACCAGTCAAACGTCTGGCAGCGTAGCGACACGAGGGCTGTGGCGGTGAGGCGAGGGCCGCGAGGGCTCTGCGGATTGGAGCCAGGACTAGGGCAGGACTAGGGCAGGGCGCCAGGGCGGTGCAGGAGGCACTTGCTTGGCCTCGCGCCTCGCGTCCGTCCACCCTTAGTTCCCTCAGTGTGCCACGAAGGGCGGGGCAAGGGCCGAGGGCGAAGGGCTTGAAGACCCACGGCATCGCCAGCGGGGCCATTCCTCAGTGCTTCGTCGCCCTGTCTCTCTCGCACCCTCACGGCGAGCCCACCGCGCCCACCGCGCCCCGCGGCGTGTATAAAGGGCCAATCAACTCGCCGGGACGGTTCGGCGTGACGCGCGCCAGTGAGAGTACAAGGACCGGCATGACTGCAAGGACTCGGGGGCCGCGGCGAGATAAGCCTTTCGCAGATAGCGCGCGTTCGGATGGAGTCATGAGGTACAGGGGGCTCCCGAAAGGCTACGGCCCAGGTGGGGGTCTTGGTGGCGGAGAGCGAGCGAGCTGAGTCCTGGAGGCATGGCGTGCGCCGTCATCGCAATGTCCTGGGCGCCTTCCAGGAGCCGCCGCTGGAGGACCCCGTTTAGGGGCACCTCTGACGTTGCCGCGGAGCCGCGCTCTGGTTGCGGTCGTCCGTCCCGTCCGTCCGCCCCGCCGTGTCGTCGCGATGCCCGCACTACGCGCCGCCACGCCGTGCCACTTCGCCGCCCTCGCCGCAATGTTTTGTCGGCACCCAGTGGCGGCGCGGCCAGCGGCGTACCTGGGCGTAGCTCGGCGTAGCTAAGCAGGCCGTCGTCGAGGTGTCGGCGGTCGGCGTTGTGGCGCACCTCGCCGCCGCGGTCCCATTGCCTGCGCCGATGATGAGGGCCGCGGGGCGTGGCGGGGCGGAGGGGCGGCAGACTGGCGGTTTCGGGCGCCTCCGCCACTATCATTTCAGGTGTTTATTGAAGGTTCAGCCTCAACTCCACAGTTGCGCGCGCGTCGATTTTTGCTTTCTCGGGAAGTATGGGATCACGAACACGACTTCCATGGGCTTTTCGAATTGCAGCGGCCGCCAACCCCGCGTTCCCCCGTGCCGTGGCGCGCCGTGGCGTTGCGCGTTGCGGCGGGCGGGCGTCCCTCGCAGCGGATGTGACGCATCCAACCTTGGTGCGGGGCGGGGCGGGGCGGGGGCGACCGTCCGACCCGACGCCCTGAACGAGGCGTCGCGACGCGGGGGAGGCACGGCGGCCTGCTGGGACTGCTAGCCTGGGCGCGACGTGAGCGAAAACTGGCGCGAAACTCGTTCTGGACGGTGCCGGCGTCGTTGGCGGTGCCCGTTTCCATGGCGACGGTTTGGCGGTCCGAGACGTACAGCTGAGCTATTCCGAAAGACAAAGACAGTGTAGGTCACTCCGACGCCCATGAGTGCGACAGAGACAGCGACCCTGCAGTGCGTCCAATTGGCCGCGCCGCCGCGCCTCGCTCCTCTCCTCGTTTCGACGGCTCAGTCCTAATGAAGCCTTGGTCCGCGAGGCCCGCGATGCGCTGTGATGCCTCTGTCGGCGACGCGACGCGAAACGCTGGGCCCGCCGGGGCCCGGAGTCCACAAGCTGTAAGTCGAAAAGCAGTGCCCAGTGACCTGAGGCAAACGCCTCTGTCCCTCTCGCATTCGTGGGGCTTCCCGGCAAGGAGTGAGAGAGCGACAAACGACAAAATCGACTCTCGATCTTACCGCAGGCATCGAGAGTCACCCCGTGGGGGCCGCGACGCTGCTGGTGACTCGGTGACTCCTGCCTGCCCCTGGCCGCCGCGCTCCACCGCGCCGCCGCGCTGGGTTGCCGCGGGTTGCCGGGTACAGTTGGTGCCGTCGGTACAGTGCTCACGCTCGGAGTGACGGTGCGGCAGCCACCTGCTCTGTGCAGGCAGCGTGTCGCGCCGCTCATGTGCAGTCACGTGTCGGCGGCCCTCCGCCGTCTGACCCCGCGCCGCGCTCGACCCCCGCGGCACATTTTGGCTGCGACTGTACCACTGTACCGCCGCGCCGCCGGTGGTGACTTTTGTGCCGGAAGTAGGGCCTCTCCGGAAACACGCTACCGGGACCGGACCGGGGTGCCTGCCT